TTTAAGGTAGGACTTACGAATGACGTAGTGTTAAGAAGGTTTCGAGAAACCGGGCCCTGGTTCTTATCAGTTTCTAAAATTATTTAAGAATAATCTCAGGTGTAAAACAATACACAACAGATTCCACCGTGTCATTATTAATTTCACAAAAATGAACCCAAAAAGAGAAAGCTCTATACACAGGAGTTCACGGTCGACTCAATGACTGCAAGGTGCCCATGTCCTGTGGCTCCAAAACAAGCCCAAATCATCACCCCTCCACCACCGTGCTTGACAGTTGGTATGAGGTGTTTGGTTTTCTCCAGACGTGGTGCTGTAAATTATGGCCAAATATCTCCACTTTTGAAATGAAAAGTTAACCAGCCAATCACAGCACAGCTTATCAACATATTAATTAGTCCACCAAAAAAGGGAAAAAGGCCTAAACACTAGGAGTACTGCCTGCCCTTGGCTCAACACAATGCCTCGCCATCCTTCCCTGCGGCTGTGCCTCTATTAATCCTGCCATCGTGCATCAAGCACCCCGTGCCTGCACCGGTCGGCCACTGCATTGAGACATATATTTCAACCCCTGTATTAGCTTAGTCATATCATCTTGTTTGTTTGACTCATCTGCCAGCCCCTGGAGGATGGGCTCCCCCTTTGGGTCTGGTTCCTCCCAAGGTTTCTTCCTCTTAGGGAGTTTTTCCTTGCCACCGTTGCCTTTGGCTTACTCAATGGGGGGTCCTTACAAGGCAGAAATGTAAAGCGCATTGAGACAATGTAATGTTGTGATAATGCGCTATATAAATAAAATTGAATTGAATTATTACAAACAAAATTAATGATTTAGAGGGTTTAACTTCATCGGACACTTACGACATTATAGGAATAACAGAAACATGGATGAGTGACAATGATGGAGAAGAATATAATATGGATGGTTATACGTTGTTCTGTAGAGACCGGACAGGCAAGAAGGGAGGTGGTGTTGCAGTATATGTAAAGGAAAACTTGCAGGCAAGGGATCTCACTGATAAAAAATAAAAGTACAGAAGCTGTATGGATAAAACTGGATGATAAAAACTCAAATGGCCTAATTGTTGGGCTTTGTTATAGGGCACCTAATGTAGCTGTAGAGGAAAGCAGAATATTATATGACGATATCAGGATTATGAGTAATAAAAATGATGTAGTGGGTGATTTTAATTTACCTGGGATACAGTGGGACATCGTCTCTGGCTCTTCTGTAAATGAACTTGAGATGGTGGAGTTGGTACAGGATTGCTTTTTTACTCAGTTTGTTAATACTTCTACCAGTGGAGAAGCCCTTCTTGATCTTGTTTTCTCTAACAACCAGGATAGGATTGGAAAATCAGAGGTTTTAGAACCACTGGACGGTAGTAATCATAATATGATTAAATTTGAGGTTAATTTTAGTGTCCGAAGAGCAAAGTCCAAAACAAAGATATACAATGTTAGGGAGGCTAAGTTTAATGGTACGAGACTGAAACTAGAAACTGTAAACTGGATGGAGTTAAACAGCAAAACTGTTGAAGAGGCATGGAAATTTTTAAAAGCAAATTGTTGCAAGTGCAAGGGGACTTCATACCTGTTTCCAGCCAAATTAAATCTAGAAAACTGCAGCCAAGGTGGTTTACTAAGGAAATTAAGAATAAAGTCAGGAGGGAATGGGGAAGCAGGAGTATCTAAGTCTAAAGGTTGAGTTAAAAAATAACGCTAAGAGAAATGTAGAAAGGAAGATTGGATTGGAGGATAAGGATGACATTAAAAGTTTCTTCCAATATTTTAACTCCAAAAGAGCTCTAAAAGCTGAAATAACTAATCTGCAGGATAGTAAGGGCCTTATAATTGAAAATGAAATTGATATAGTAAATGAGTTTAATGATTATTTTACACGGGTGTTCACATTACAGAACACAAGTAACCTGCCACCAATTAGTACGAATACAGTGTCGTCTACGACCAATATATGTATAACTGAGGCTGATGTGGTACTAAGCCTAGCTAAGGTAGCGAAGACCAGAGGAAGCGAAATGACAAAGACTAAGCCTAACTAAGCCTAACTCCCTACCCAAAACAACAGTAAACACCACGTTCGCAGAAACAAAAAGGCAGTCACTCCTTACGCACCTAACAGACATGTACAGAAAACACACAGGCCGAAACACGGTATCCGAAGGGGCGAGGCAAAGAGAGCAGTCAGGAGCTAAGCGAGAGTTCAAACCAGAAGACAAGCAATCCAAAGGCAAAGATACAAAAGGGGCGAAGCAGAAAGTCAGAAACCGAGAAACCAAAAGAGTCATAGACAGAAGTCAATCAGAAAACAGCAAACCAACGCAGCAATAGCAAAAGACAGAGCTTGAGCAAGAGCTCGAGCTAGATGTGATCAGCAGGCTTTATCCTCGTCGACCGGAACACAGGGCCAGGGTCAAAGGTCAGAGGGTGGAAGGGGCGTGGCCGGAAACCGGGATGCGGGCTGAAGCAGCAACTGGCGAATGGTGCTTGGGGCAGAAGACTGAGGAGTCCTGTAGACATATCCAAAACACTTACGGCACATAACAGGGGATAGAAAAAATCCAGTAAACTATAGGCCAATCAGTTTAACTTGAATAACTGGAAAGGTAATGCAAGCTATAATCCAAGTGAAAATAGTAGATTACCTAGGGTGACCAGATAATCCATGTCAGGGAGGACACTTTGAGCTACTTCGGGTTTTACAAACTACTTTCAAATTAAAAGGCTCCTGTGCTCGGCTAAATAGTTCAGCTCTTCTTGTGCTTTGACTGGTTTGTTTCCTTGACTGAAAGACTCATCCAGCTGTTTCACATTAGCATTAGTGACACATGCATGATTATAGGAGACTGACCAATCAGCACACAGCAATAACTCAGTGCTCAAGTGAAATCCAGGTCCTTTTAATTGAAATGGTAATTTACAATTCCTGTCCTAGCAAAGAGTCTCCTCCCTGACATGGATTAACTGGTCACCCTAAGATTACCTGGATTCTAATAACATTCTGAGGGGTAGCCAACATGGATTTAGGAGAGGTAGGCCCTGTTTAACTAATCTACTGTACTTGAGTTGTTTGAGGAAGCTACAAGAGAAATTGATCACAAAAAAGCCTATGACGTGATCTACTTAGATTTCCAGAAGGCCTTTGATGTTGTCTTCCACAAACGGCACCTTGTTAAGCTCAAAGCAGCAAGGATTTTAGGAACTGTAACAGCTTGGATCAAAAACTGGTTAACAGACAGGAAGCAGCGAGTAATTATTAGAGGCACAATGTCACAGTGGGCCTGCGTTCATAGTGGGGTACCGCAGGGCTCAATTTTAGGACCACTATTGTTCCTAATTTACATTAATGATATTGACACCAATACATGCAGTAAACTGGTTAAAATTGCAGATGACACCAAGGTGGGTGGCGTAGCAGATACTAAATTAGCAGCACAGAGGCTACAACGGGATCTTGATTTAATTAGCGACTGGGCCGATACCTGGAAGATGGAATTTAACGTAGATAAATGTAAGGTAATCCATGCAGGGAGCAGAAATATAAAGTACAAATATTTTATGGGTTCCACTGAAATAAAGGTAGCTGATTATGAGAAAGACCTCGGTGTGTATGTTGATGCTTCCATGTTCCACTCTCGCCAGTGTGGGGAAGCATTAAAAAGGCCAATAGGATGTTGGGTTACATCTCTAGGTGTGTGGAGTTTAAGTGAAGGGAGGTGATGCTACAATTATACAATTTCTTGGTAAGACCCCACCTACAATATTGTGTGCAGGTTTGGTCACCATACCTTAAAATGAACATTGCTGCCTTGGAAAAGGTTCAATGTAGGGCTACAAGAATGATTCCTGGTCTTAGAGGAATGTCTTATGATGAGAGGTTAGCTGAGCTGAATCTGTTCAGCTTCGCGCAAAGGAAAAGAGATTAAGGGGGGACATGATCCAGGTCTATAAGATTCTAACGGGTCTGGATGCTGTTCAGCCAAATGGATACTTCAATATTAGTTTAAATACTAGAACTCATGGCCATAGGTGGAACTTAGCGGGAGAACATTTTAAAATAGATTTGAGAAAACACTTCTTTACACAGGATGTAGTTAGAGTATGGAATAGTCTTCCTGCTAGTGTAGCGGAAGCTAAAACCCTGGGTTCCTTTAAATCAGAGCTAGATAAGCTTTTAACAACTCTGAGCTATTAGTTAAGTTCTCCCCAAACGAGCTTGATGGGCCAAATGACCTCCTCTCATTTGTAAATTTCTTATGTTCTTATGCACACCATATACTCACACACCAGTCACTCACACACACACACACAAACCTATGGGACAATTCTCAGTATATTTTTAGAGTGTGGAGGCAATTGGGGCTATCTGGAGGAACCCCATCATGATGCAAACTCCACATGCATAGAGCCATAATGGAACCCTGGTCCCAAAACTATGATGCATTGGTGCTAACCACTGCACCACCAGGCTACCCCAAAACCAATTTAAAATACTGAAATGATGCATTCTATGGCTCCTTTAAAGTTGTACAGAGTTGACAATTCCACTGTCATCTTGACAAATATTTTTGTTCTTCATCTCTGGTTGTAGCTCCAGTGGCCTTGTGGGATAACATAACATCCATCAATTGCACATTTTGGAATTTTGCAGAATGTAGTATATCATCTGGGTTAGGGTTACAGTATGCATACTGTCTCATCCATACTGAGTATTCAAACATACTGCTCACGTCGCATGCGATTTCAGACACCCAAATTCTTTGCAATATAAATGTCAAAATTGGTTTTAATCATAGGAGGCTTATTGCTATTGCCATGCCGGGTAGAAAAGTACTTCCTCGAAATTCCATGATGCAGACTGAGAGCACGAATGAACTTTATTTGCAAAGGAGAAATAAATGCATCAGAAAACAGCAAATGAATCAGCAAGATGGTCAAACATTTTTAAAGGGCAGTGAGCCTACAGCATACTGAAGGGCCATGTTACACAGGAATGGCCACGGGTTCGATAGGGAGCTCGCTCGCTATCCGGGGCGAGCAGCTCAGCCCAGCGTAGCACTGGCAGGTGAAGTGATCGGAGAAGTAGGTGAGGTCAGAGAGGGTGGGAATGCCCACCGCCACGTACTTCCCGTTGGATTTTCGGACAGAGAAGCTGGCAGGATTCAGGTGCAGGTAGACGTCAGAGTTGTAGTCCTTCCGGATGCAGCGCCCGTTACCCTGGCAGAGTGACTCGCTGCAGAGCCTGGAAGCTGCCGTCACATTGGCGATGTAGGGGTTCAAGGTGGAGGTCAGGTAGGAGGATAAGGCCTCACATGATGCCTACAAGGATGGAACATACTTGTGTGACATATAAGATTCACTCAAGGATTCAAGGAGTTTTATTTGTCACAAGCAAGGTATACAGTGCTGCAAGGTATACAGCAAAGTTAAAGTATAATAAATATGGATTAAATAAGGAACAGTAAGGTAATATGAGAAGACAAGATACGTGCTCCAATAAAGTGTATGGTGACAAGTAATATAGACGGCTAATCTGCGACTGAGTGTGAAGAAAAGATCTCCTGAGACATGAAGGAGAACTTCAGCATTGTTATAACACAGATACTTCATTTCTTTTACTATTTTACTGCAGATTTATGTTACTTGAAAGTGACAGAATTGCAATCATTATGAACATTGTGAACATAGTGATCTGTTTTAAGCCGTGTTCTTTTTCGGCCTGTAGCATGTGACCAAGAGTGTTTGTGTTTCATGAGAGGATACCTTGTCATGGAAATCTGCACTGCCACCCCAGAGCACTGAACCTGAGGCCCCTACAGCTGCATTCTCACCCAGAGTGTGGACCAGGTCCTCCTGGAGATGGGAACACACACAGAGCAGTGAGACAGAACCTCTGGGCTTCGTACCTTGATGACTTAAATGAGAATATGAAGGTCTAACGCAAAGCCAGCAGAGTGGAGCTTGATCATATCCTCTATATAATAGTGAGATGATCCAGAATCTGATTAGAGATGAAACAGTAAGAAAATTTCATATCACGATTATACTGACCAAAATGATCACGGTTATCAGTATTATCACAGTATTATTAAAATGTGCCCAGAAGACTTTGGGGGACAGCATGTGGCTCAGTGGGCTTGTGGTCGGAAGGTCGCCGGTTCGAGCCCAGCCTCAGCACATTGGCAGGTCCTTGAGTAAAACCCTTGACCCCCAGCTCCCTGGGCACTGCTATGGGTGGCTGCCCTTTACAGCCAGCTTGCTCTCAGCTACAGAGAGCAGGTTGGGGGAGGAGTACAGAGAATTTCCCCACAGGGATTCATAAAGTATCTATTATTATTATTACTAAAAAGCTACCAAGACACAAACTGAAGTCATATCACTAAGTTTTATATTTAAAACAACTAACAAAATGAGCAGCTCTATGTACTTTTTGTTTGCATAAACATTAAAATCAAACCATAGACAATGCCTTATGTAAACTATTGAAAACCATATTCAATGTGCATTAACGTCAAAAATCTCCAGAACGCTGTCACTGCTTTGCCATGTTCTCACTGACTCAGAACAAACCCACATTGCCTGCTGTGTG